TGTTTCTTTGCCGAGATGGAAAAACTAATTCCCCAGGGGCAGTTTGAACACACATTCACATGAATTGCCATGCACAGTTTAGAAAGCAATGTTGTGTTGCCTGACTTTTTGTTTAGATTTAATCTTTGAGCTGGTCCTTCTTGTATTTACCACATATTCTCTCTCTACACGTGTGTGTGTGTGTGTGTAAGGCAGTTCTGTAAGATACATTATTCATCTAGAATCTATACAATCCTGTCAGCTGCCACCTGCGTGTCATTTTACGGCAGATCTCTCAGACAGAATAATGACCGCCGCTCTGAGAAATAGAGGAGTGAGAGCAAGCATTTGAAGAAATAACGAGCAGAGGAATCCCATTCGATATCTCACAGCGGGGGCCCCGGCTCGACAGAGTTGTCATGGCGACGTGGATTCCGGTCGCTTGTTCAGTGTGTGTGTGTGAGTGTGCGTCTTTAACTCTTTCTCCCTGCATATTGTTGCAGTGAGATGACATGATTGAGACTGAGAGGGTGAGAAGCAATGCAATATTAAGAGAGACAGAGAGAGGTTTTCATAGTCTTTAGTTTGCTCCTGAAAAGTATAAGGCACACACAACCCAAGTGGAGAATTGGACAGGACCGACCCTCTGCTCATAGGTTTTCAAGTGGTGCCTATATGTACATTGATAAAGGCTTCGCAAACTGATGTCATTCTACCTGTTGATACTGGCTGCTAAAAGATCCCCTTATTTCAGTATAAAAGTGATGGGGGGAAAATCCACAGTCCTTGTTTTGTACAAAAATGTATTTATTTGTAAACATCTTTTTATTAGTTTATGTTGCCAGAAAACAATATATATATATAGAGTTTTGACATAATGAAACTTACTGGAACAGTGTGTAGTTCAGTGGCATCTAGTGCTGAGGATTGTAGATTGCAACCAGCTGAAAGTGCACCTAAAACACAACAATTCTTGTTTTCAGGTAATTATTCAATTTCTGCTAATATATCCCTCTAAATCCTATACACTGGACCTTTAAATTGATTAATGGTATATTGTGTGTGTACATATTGTTACCTAGCTTGAATATATTATACAAACATATATACTTTAACATAAATTGGCATGTATGCACAAACAGATGCAGATGCACACCTGCACGTATGTACACAAGACCTAAATCCATATACATCACACACACACATGCAAAAAACCTTATCGCCATACCCAATTGAGCCCGCCTGATGTTATTCAGAGAGCAGAAATTATTCAGAAGCAAAAATATGTTGAAAAGTTTAAGTTAATTTGAGGCTTCAGCAGTCTGAGTAAATCATATCAAGTGGGTATCTTCCAGAGTTTCAACAAGTTTTTTTGTCACTTTCCGTCCACCGCAGCTAGGCAGAGAAACTGTGCAGGGTTTTTATACTGAAAATATTGCAACCTTAATGTCATCAAATCACTCTCTGGAAGGTGTTTGAATTTAACTATAAAATAGCATAAAATTACAGGTCTTAATGGTCTTGATCATGAATTGCTGATCTGAAATGATGTTGTGTTTAGTTCTGAATTAATACTGCCGATGTCTGCAGCTTGTGTGGCTGCTACACTGACAACCCAAGCAGCTCATTATTTTTAATTAGTTCTATCTCTTTGTCCATTTTGTATTTTGATACACATTGCGCTGTGCGTCAGCAACTGTTTACGCTGCTCATCGAGCAAAGATGGACCACAGAGGAAGAGCAGGAGAGCATGTAAAAGAGCTCCTCGCTGAAAGGTGAAGAGCAGGAATCTGAGAGAGCTGTTAAATGATTTTGTTGAATTGTCAGAATTAGATGAAGTGGATAGAGTCAAGTGTGAATATTGAGCATAAATAACCACTATTTTGCCAACATGTTTTTTTTTTTTTAAATTCATTGTTGTGGTTAGCAGTCACGTGTTTCTTCTCCACACCTGCATCCCATGCCCCACTTTAACTTGTGATGTAATCTGATATTCATGTAGTCAGTTGTTGTTGCATGTGCCATAGATGTCACAATAAGCTACAAGGTATCAAAATGGTTTCTGAGGCACTACATTTGCCTAAATTCAGAGTTTGTGCTGAAAAACGTTCTCAGTAAAGCTCTCTCCGGGCGTCATTAGTGTTATAGAACTAGAAAAGGTCAGTTTTATTTATTTGGCTCGTGCACATATACTTCCATCTGGATGGTAAAATATTTTATGAGAGGATGTTAATAATCCAAGGGGTACGCCTGGGAAAAAATTTCACGTAATTTTCCAGCAGCAGAACAGGCAAATCTGCTTAAAGTAATCATTACAAAGAGTTATTCGCACTACTTAATGATATAAATACCTGGTGTTTGTGTGTCAATAATATTAGCTACACGCAGTATATCAGTCTTGCCATATTGAGTTTGTGCTCTCTGATTGTATTTGCTGCTTTAGGCAGGTGAATAAGGTCACTTTCTATCATTCTTCCTGGTGTTTGTTTATCTACTCCGTCCTCATTAGTGTCAATCAGTCCTCCTCTGAATATCTTTTAATCATTCTACACACATAATGCAAACAAAACCTGATTTCCCCGTGCTGTCTGCAAATAAAATGAAATGAGAAAAAGTCTCCTCTCTCCCCAAGGTGCTATTTTAGTTTCATATCCCATCCTACGATTTCTGAGGAAAGGGGTATTGCTGTTAGAATATAAGCCAAGCATCAGTTCCAGGATCTATTTCATTTTGTCTGCCATTTCAAAAGCACTTCCCCCCAGTTCCCAGTGCTGGAGTAAAAGGAGACTTGAATTACATTCACGCAGAGGTCCTCAACCCCAATTCTGCGCTGTTTAAATGACTGCCTGAGTGGATTTGTGCCAGGTGGGTCTCTCAGAGCAGAGCTTATCAGACAACCGGCCCCTTTGTCGGATTGGAAGACCTCTCAAAAGTCAAGTCAAATTATGTTATGCTGCTGTTTCTCCCACACAGACAGCTTCCTTTTTAAGGAGATGTATGAGACATGGAGAGCGTTTAAGGGCAAGTGTGTCCATTCTTTGAAGTTCATGTTATTACTATGGTCTAAGACAGTCTAAGAAATATGTGTATATCCAAAAACTAGAGTGTTAAAACTCCAACTTGTGATGTCATAAGGTATAAAGTCTGAAGCTGCTCTACAGGTGAAAGATAGCTGGCACTGAGAGCACCCAGGGGAATGATCTGAGTATATGGGCACATTTTCTGTTTCAGGACTGAGAACACTGCAATAGAATAAAGATCATTTGGGTTTAAAAAAGGAACTAAAGGGCCACAAATTCACTCTACCGTTCATTGTCAATAGAGCAGCTCCACACTTTGGCCCAATCCCAATACCTCCCCCTTGGCCCTACCCTAGCCTTTGCCCGCTACCCCTTGGCTATTGAAATGAAGCAACGAGGGGTAGGGGTTAAAATCTTTCCCTAGGAATTGGGACACCACTCACTACGTCACTGTGTCAGTTACATTCACGCATACGTAACTATTTTAAACAGGAAGCTGCAAGCCATCTACATTTCCAACCGGCATCTACAATGGAGTCTCCAGTTGAGTCCATCCTACTGATCGCGTTTGATGAACGACAGACAACGGGGGACTTCTGCTAGCTAGCTAACCAGCTAACATTACGAGGCAGCATAGTTATACTAGCTGGTATGTTATCGTAATGTGAAAAATCCGACAATTTGGCAGAACAGGACAGATGACAGACGCCAGATAGTGTGAGCTAGCTAGCGACGGTAACGTTAGCTATGTATGAACTTTTTTCCCCATCTCTTGCTCGGTGGTAGCCATGGCGACGTCTACCCCTCGCTGGCAAGTCAGCATCTGAAATCCCTCGTTTCATACCCACCATCCCTCGTTACGCCCCCTACCCCTACACGCAAAAAGGAATTGGGACACCACTACCCCTCGTGGGAACGCGCAAATGTAGGGATAGGGCCAAGGGGTAGGGCTAAAGGGGGTATTGGGACTGGCCCTTTATACTGTCTGAGACTTATTTTTGTGGTTTCTGGCTTTGAGAGGGAGTGGCTTATATTCACACTTTTCTACACCATGGAAATAACACATTGGAACTATTAATTTAGGTGGTGCTCCCCTCTGATGTTGCAGTAAACACTATTTGCTTTGTAAAGATATAGTGGAGTCATGGTGTCCTAAACACAGAATGAATTTACACTTTTTTTGTAGTCAGAGCTTCTCTGTAATTTGTGTGAGTATGGCTGGTTACAGAAGAGAGCATGAATGTCAGAAACTAAACAGTCTGACTCTGTCAACTTCCTAATGGACCTAAGGAAACATTGCAGTTGTAGACAGTGTAACCAGTCAGGTCTGTGAGTGTGTTTGTACGGGAGGAGGTGCTGGAAGTGATGTCACTGGGTTCACCTATAAGACCATGGTGTTTATTCAGAGAAAGTGCTTACACATCACACCTCCTATCCACACCTTCACCACAGCTGCCACGCTACACACACACACACACACACACTCTCACACACACACACACACACACACGTACACACACACACACACACACACAAACACAAACACCTCCTGCTCAACAGTGTTCCTTTTGTATCTTGGAAATATTTTGAGGCTATGTGATGTAGTAAAACTTTCCATGATTTGTTCCTGACCTGAGTCTAAACATGTCCTCATGAATGTGAAATTTCCAGTAGCAGTAACATTTAAGGGTGTGATCTCTGCATTGATCTGTTGGACTTAGAGACCCAAGTCCAACTCATTAACAGCTGGATCCAAATATAGATCAGCAAGTTTAATATCCGTATAGGGACAGCAAAGAAATGTCATCTGAGGTTGGTAATTCTGGTCAGGAAATATGAGATACTGTCTAGTTTTTCCACAATGTCATGACCTCGATCGCAGAGAACGGCCAAGATGTAGGAGGAAGAATACATGTAGAGTTAACTATATGTCATGCCACATGCATTCACCATATGATTGTGACCTCTTAACCCTTTGTTGTGTCTTTTGTGTACATACAGAGGTATCCCAGGGAAGAAATGTGGGACCATTATTGTGAAAGCTGAGGAGCTGAACAACTGCAGGGTAAGGATGGATGTACACCCCCTGAACATTTTTCCAATGTCTGTTATGTTTCTTTATCTTTTCTGTTTCAATTTCTACTCTGTGTTTGTCTAACTGCTCCTTTCTCTGGCAGGACATTTGTATGGGTTTGGATTTAAGGCACAATAGCTGTGGGAATATGCGTTTGAATTTTGAGTGTACATCTGTCTGTAGACTTGAGAAAAAGTTCAGATGGTGTAAGAGGCTAGGGCCCTTTCTTTGAATAATTTATTATTATTATTATTATATAATTTATAATAATAATAAAATAATTATTATTTCGGCTACTTGTATCGGCAACCTTATTCTTTCAGTCATTACCCAGAGCTCATGGCCATAGGTGAGGGTTGGGACGTAGATGGACCAGTAAATCGAAAGCTTTGCCTTCTGGCTCAGCTCCCTCTTCACCATGACGGTTCAGCACAGTGCCCGTATCACTGCGGATGCCGCACTAAACGACCAATCCATCTCACGCTCCATTCTACCCTCACTCGTGAACAAGACCCTGAGATACTTGAACTCCCTCGCTTGAGGCAGTAACTCTCCCCCAACCTAGAGGGGACAATCCACCTTTTTCCGGCAGAGAACCATAGCCTCAGACTTGGAGGTGCTGACTCTTATCCGAATCACTTCAGACTCGGCTGCAAACTGATCTCAGTGCATGCTGGAGGTCTTGGTGTGATGAAGCCAACAGAACCACATCATCTGCAAAAAGCAGAGATGTAAACATTCTTAAATTTCATTTAATTTTTTGTTAACAGTAAAATAACTATTAACTAAAGCCTAAATGACCATCAATTTATCTATGATGGTAATGATGAAGTGTGACCAATTAATTGATTAGTTGTTAAGTATTAGATTAATGGCCAACTAATTTGACAATTGATTAATCGGTTTGAGTAATTTTTAATGAGAAAAACAGTCAAAAATCTCTGACTCCAGCTTCCTATTTGTAAATATTTTCTGGTTTCTTTTCTCCTCTTTGACAGTAAACTGAATATCTTTTGGTTGTGGACAAAACAAGACATCTGAGAACGTCACCTTGGGCTTTGGGAAACACAGATCAACCTTTTTCACACTTTCTCTACATTGTCTGGCATTTTATAGACTAAACAGCTTATCAGTTAATCAAGAAAATAATCGTTAGTCGCAGCCCTCAACTGTATTTTTCTCTTCTCTTTTTGTAGCCCTACTTATTTTTCATTTTTTATCACCAGCCTCCTATTTTTTTGGCCTCTGTGCACATTTAATCATTTTTGTGGCGTCACAGTAAAGCAGGAAAACACATTCTTTTTAGTCAACAATGAAAAAGAAGAGAGCTTTTTGATATAGTCTGTCATTATCAAAGAAAGAGGACTTTTTTCTGAACTGTTTTGCTTTTGCATTCAACAGTATGAGTGTTTCTTAACGGTCACAAAATAACTGGACTGCTGCTGGGTGGAAATGTGCACGTACAGTGTAAGAGCCATGTGTATTTTATTCAGTTTTCTTTTTCTGTCTCTACTCATCAGGAATCAGTGATGATGCAGTTCTGCGGGAACAAGCTGGACAAAAAGGATTTCTTTGGCAAATCCGACCCCTTCCTGGTCTTCCACAGGAGCAATGAGGATGGCACGTGAGTCCCCCTCCCCCTTCCTCCTTCACTCTCCCTCCATCTTCCATTCTTCCCTTTTATGTTTTGTTTAATCCGTCCCCGCATCCAAAGAAAATTGGTTTCATCGATTCTGCCTCAGATCAAAAGCAGCGATGCCTCTTTAAGCACATGTGTGAATGATGTGTGGAAATGTTTGTGTATGACGTGTGTGTGGAAGCAGGAGGCATTCAAGTGCAGCGCTGTGGTATGTTCACATGTGTGTGTGTGTATGTGTGTATGTGTGTGTGTGTGTGTTTGTGTATGTGAGTGTTCGATCCAGCGCTCTCTTTTCCATCCTGCAGTGTGTGACAAGTCCGATAAGACCTTGTGCTCTGCGGGCAGAAGATACCAAGTCCACCTGCTCGTCAAGAGACTAATGAAATTACCTCTTTGCAGTGTGTGTTTGTGTGTGTATGTGTGTGTCAGGGAAGTAGTCGAGCCTCCACAGCCCTCCTGTTTTTAATCTCAGTTAGTAGAAAGTCTCCTCTTTAACTCCATTCCCTTCTCTGTTTCCCCCCTCTCTCCCCACAAATCTTGTTTCTCTCCCTCCTCTCTTTTTCATTCCTGACTCTCGCCAGGTTTACCATCTGCCACAAGACAGAGGTGGTGAAGAACACATTGAACCCAGTGTGGCAGGCCTTTAAGATCCCTGTCCGGGCTCTCTGCAATGGTGATTACGACAGGTAAGTCCTTTTTTAGATTGTAGATATTATGGCAACTAAAAAACTACACAACCCTCTGAATCATTAGGGAGTTATTTTCAGTTTCAGACACACTAAAAGTGTTGTACAAGGTAATATGCGCAGCTCTGGAGATATTATGTTCCTGCAGTTTCTACTGGCCTTTTCAGGCTGCTTTATACAAACAGTGACTACAGCCCTTTTTAAAAAGGAATTGTGCAAATTCGCAGGAAAGACCAATCAGTCTTTTTTCAGCATTGGCAGTATAAAAACAAAATAGGGGAGTGCGCCAAAATGCCGCCTACCTACTTTTGTTTATACAGAATGCATCTTTTCCTGGGCAATGGGGGCGTGAGCAAGTAACACAACATGTAGCTCAGCGTGTGACGTAAACATTGACGTGGGAGGGAAGCCGCGGCTAGTCAGTTCTTTGGCGATTCTCTTGTAAGTTGGCCCGTCCCCATCCTTTGGCGGTAAATGGCCTCTTTGTTGCGAGGGCAAGGAGGGCGTGCAATTCCTTGTCTCCCCAGTTGCTCATCTTTACAGTGTCTGTCAGGTTTGCGTTTCCCTCTTGCTACTAGCTGCTTGCTAATACCTGCTATCAGCTGTTTCCTGTTTATCCACTGCCAGTGGCTCGCACGTGCGGCGTCATCAACAGCTCCACGCACAAGTCTTCAACAGCCCCCTCCCATTGCGGAAGGCCGCCTTGTTCTGTTTAAACCAAAAAGGTTCCGCCAATATGGCTACCCTATGAGGCGGAAAATTGGGCATCTCCGTTCAACTCGCCAATCCGGCTCTGTGTGTCTAAACACTCGCAGCTGGCCGGCAAAACGGTCCAACATTTGCGGAAAATCTGGCAGTGTAAAAGAGGCTTACGTTTACATGCACAAAATAGTCTCATTTTGGTCCTTACTAGAAAACTCTGCCTTTTATCTCAGGCCTGGCAAAGAAATTCAGCCACAAATAAGGTTCCCTTTCTGACACAAAACTCAAATTGTTCCTGATCATCCAGCCAAAAGAAATCAACATAGATAGAGGTCATCTTACTGACTCCCTATGTCTTCATATACAGGACAGTAAAACAAGAAGTGAACCTCATTCTCAATCTCACCTAAATTACACAACGTTTGTTGTGTAATTTAGGTGAGGTTGAAGGTGAATTCTGAATTCTGTCTTCCCCTGGGGTGGCGTTAAACCCTCCAGTCTCTAAGGCTAATATGTACACAGGGATCTTCCACACTGTTGCTATTCTTTATGAGACAGTTGGTGTGTGTTTCGTCTTCCAGCCAGAAATGTTGGCTTTACTTTTGGGCATGCATCTGTACCCCACAGCCTCACAAACTTTTGGCAAGTTGGTTTGTGTACAGCCTATCCATTACAAATCATAGCGCTGAGCGTAAACATGCAAAATGCATATTCAGAGTGCGCTGTATACAGCTCCAAAGAATGCTCCTAAAACCTGAATGATCCCGCATATCCCACATGTAATAATCGGAAAATGCTACATTTGAAACAAGGCCTATTTAGGAATATCTAAATGGAATATGCAGTTAACATTACCCATGTAAAATCTGTCATATTGTCATATTCGGAATAATAGTAGATTATTAGTGTGCATGTGAACGTACCCACTGCCTGTGGCTCACCAGGGAGGTCAAACTCCTGCCGTATATTGAAAATGTTTTAGTCATTTTTAAAATAAGAAACCCAAATATAAAGGAGATGCTGGACCACATAAACAGTTTATGCTCATGAATTCCTCCCTATGTCTGCAATATGTCTATTTAGACTGACTGGGATATGAACAGTGAGCCTGCTGACACTGAGTGCATCCAAACACTCAGTTACTGTATGCAGCCTTTTATTGTTCACCGTGCATTGGAGAGAGTAATAAAATAAAAGGGAAAGAAGTGTTTTTGACAGTGGTGTATAACTGCAAGTGTTTGAGTTATAGTTTCCCTGTGGGCCACTCATGTAAAAATATAGGCACTATATTTTGTAAGGCACTATGGAAAATAGCGTCAATAGATTTCCATACAGCTTGAATGAAAAATGTATGAAGCTGTTTTCAGCTACTAAGTTTGATATGCTATTATATTTGATGATTTGGCAGAAAGAAATTGCATATTATTTTGTTGCGTTACCCCCAAAACAAAGCATGAATGTATGATTTTGCCATTTGGTTTTCCTCTGTAGATTTCCTCGACTGTCTTGTTTTCTACAAGGATAATTTAATCTAAGCCAGTACTTCAGTACATTCAATTGAAGCCTGTGTGATGCATTCAGGGGTGTACAGTACTTCACAGGCTGTTTGGGAGAAAAGTAACATTATTTTCTGGTGGTCTTAGTTTATATTTAGTCACTAGATTTCAGAGATAAGGGGCAGACTGCTTTAATCTTGTCATGTGACACTCACATGAACAAAGAGCCAGAAAGCAAAGTATTCTGAGGCACTGCATTTAGGCACACACACACACACACACACACACACACACACACACACACACACACACACACACAGTCTCTCCGTTTGCTTTAATAGGTCTGTTATCGTAATTGCTCTTTTGTCAGCTGAGTATGAATGTGATACGTGATTGTGTGGCTGCTTTGCGGATCGGGAGGAATAAACAGGAGATGAAACTGCGTTAAAATCAGCTAATTAAAAAAAAACAAAACTGGCAGCAATATGTATTTTGCTGGAGGCAGAAATTTATAATCCTGCTCTCTGAATCTGAGAAAAGATGTTTGTCTAAATGACAGGTGAGTAATGTCGGCGCTTACTAGGAGCAAACTAGGAGACAACTGGTAGGGGATCAGGTTAATGGGAATTCTGTCTGACTGACGCACAGCAGAACTATGATGAACTTTTCTGATCTGAAATAATATGTAACATGAACATAACATGATCATCTGCATGAGAGAGGGTCATTGTGGTGAGCCAGGAGCTGTCAGTGGAACTTGCTGTTATTGATTCAGTGACGGACAGGAGCCTTGCTGCTACTTGCTACTTATTTTAAAAGGACTGGCAGTAAATTCTGCTGCTTCTCTGTAAATATTCTTTTTTGGTCAAATACAATTCTACAAGTTAGTAATTTTCTAAATATTTCCCCCAAATTCCTTGCATGTAAAGTACTTTGATACTATTGAAAAAATAGGAATTAATAGGATGCAACAGTGAGGCTTACATGATTGCCAAGGGCAGGAGTGTCCATATTTTTTTGAATGGGAGAGATTAAATAATGCAAAGATACTTTGGGGCCATCTGCTTCTTGTATCAAATGGGTGATTGAAATAAAAATCACTAACAAGACAAACAAAACTGTCTCATTTTTCAGTGAAAATGTGTTTTAACTTTTGGCCACTCCTGAAAGCAGCTGTCTTCGCTGTCGTCTGTTCACTCCTGTGCTGTGGCCTTGTCTGCTACCTAGCAGGAAATATCTGCTGTTAGGTGACAGTTCTGTTTGCTTGTTTACAGTCTGTTTATGAAACAAAAAAAAAACCATTTGTTCCACCTGTGTAGTTCCTACTTGATGCACGTCTACAAACTGTACAATAGTCCGGCCATTGTAAGCTGAAGAGGAAAAATACAAAGTTGCTTGATTGATCAACTTTCCCCAACTTTTAGTGTGGTCTCATAGCTTTCCACAGCCATTGTATGGTAGCTCGCTACAGGCTGCGCTTTGCCACTGCTTGGTGTGTTTTTGGCTCACGGAGTGAGTCGTCTCGCTTCCTTTTCATCTCTGTTGCACATGGGACAGGTAAAGACAAAGTTTATGAGCTGTACTACAAGTAACATTGTAAATTTCCTGGAAATTTGAGTTTAATTTGTGTGGCATTAGAGGATGTGGGCTAAACTCAAACTTTGTGTTGTGCAGTTTGCCGCAAGTCTGAGAGCAAGGAAGATGAATCACGGTTGTTTTTTGAATGCTAACTTTGGTCTTTGTCGTTATTTGATACCGGCTAATTTAAAAAAAAAAAAAAAAAAAAGAAGCAATTTGTATAGGGGCAGGTAAAAATTGACTTTAAGCAAGTAGATATCTGAGCCACTTTTCTAACTAGACAAGTGAAAAAAAAACACCTTAACTTTGAACCTTGATTAGAATTTAATTGAAATTGATTAATTCAAAGTGCACCAACTGAGCATTGTCTCTGCTTTCCCTTGAATTAGTACCAAATAGCATGGTTCTTAGAGGTTATTAAAAAAATCTGCAAAAACTATGGAACCTTTAAAAAATAGCGCAGTTACTTTTGTATTGCCTCTTAGCATACATTTTACATGTGGCGTCTGTTCAACTTCAAACTGTGTTTCTGGCTCTTTAAATTATTTTGCCTCCTGTCTTGTGGAGGGCACAGGATTTACTTTAGATCTCAAGAGAAGTCTGTGTGAGAACACAAATAAGTAGGTAAAAGTGTGTCTCTCTCATGTCAGCCATGTGTTTGGGTCCGTCTGCGGTGTCAACAGCAGCTGTGCGGTGAAAAAGGCCACAAAGAAGCAGATAATGGGGTTTAGCTTGGCTCAGCTTGCAGACAGCAGCATTGATCTGAAGTTAGGTCCAATAAGCTTATTAGAGGAGTTGAGACTTATCAATGTGGGACTCAGGAAGCTCACAGTGGACTGCACATACAGTACACACACACACTAACACATTGAATCTGTCTCTCTGCAGCCTGGGAGAGGAGATAAGAAAGAGCTCAAGCTGGCAAACAATAGAGAACTGTGTGTTTCTGCTGATAGGTGCTCTGATGGATCCATGTTCACTCACTCACACACACACACACACAACCACACACCCATACACACACATGCAGTGAGACCACGAGATTAACAAGTGACGATATTGTCAATTTCCTGCCACCTCATCAAAGCTCAGTGAGGGGATGTTTCCTGCTGAGATGTAGCATAACACTGACTTAATAAGACACACGCCCATAAACACACACATGTACACCCACATTATGCAGACAGCTCTGCACACACCACTCTCTCTGGAGGAGAAAGTGTTAAGCCAACCAGGAGACACATTTATCCCCGGAGTGCCCATCACTCTCAGCCAGCCCATTCCCACTCCTCACCTTTATTGCTTCCTTTCCTCTAATGTGCATGCGGCTCTCTAAGCAGCTCTAAGGCGCATCAGTGATGCTTTGTATTTCCACTTTTTCTCAGACTGAAAGACGAGGAGGATGTAAGAGTGCATTTTTGGCACAGGTTTTGAGTTTGGTGTCGTTTGTTTTAGAAAGCCGCCCAAACTCTTAAGCAGTTATAGTAAGTTCCGAAGAAAGTCACACAAGATTTACAAAGTACAACAATCTGTTCACAAACTTTAATACAGACAAGTTTGAGCTGCCTCTGCTTCCTGCTGGCAAATATAATGCAGGACTTCGCTGACCACGCCCCCTAACTATGACTAGTCTCTATGAGCACTATATGATTCTGTCACCCCAACCATCATGAGTTGTTTTCACACCCTCTTCCCTTCCCCTTGCTCTCCCTCTCTCCTTCCCTCTCTCCAGAGTGTCCTTTGCTCGGCATGTTTTTATTCAGTCTCTATTCTATTATCCATTCGCCTCACCCCTCTCACTCTCGATGGATCACTCTCCTGCTTTTGTACGAGAGAAATGACCCTCCTGTTGAAGATATTGGTAGATGGAGTGATAGCAAGCATATCTGCCTCTTTCAGACTAGCCTGTTTTTTTCCCCACATTTCCTTGTAAGCTATAATGGGATGCAGAAATAGATGTATTTGGAGATGAGGACAGCACATTACCTGAGGCAAATACAGTGACAGGCAGACGGTGTGTAGGAATAAAGATAAGCTGCTGAATGGATCTTCAGCTTTTAAAGCCTCCATGACAACAGTGACAAAAGAGATTAGCATTCTTCTGATCAAGTTTTAGACACATCTGGGTGTAATTTGTAAATTAACAACTTGAGAAGACAGGCTTTTAGCTCTTTGATTATGAATGCATTAAGTCAGTTCAGTTGTGCTCTGCAGAAAAATGTAAATGTCCAACATCACCTTTCATTTTCTAAATATGATGCATGTTACAGCTAAACTTTAAAAAGCTTTAAAGAATATAAAAACTATAAATGGGTATCAGGAGAAACATCAATGGAATCATAATTCAGGAAATGAAAATAAATCTGTTTTTAATCTGATTTTCATCTCGTGTCTTTCCCAACAGAACGATTAAGGTTGAGGTGTACGACTGGGACAGAGACGGCAGGTAATTAATCTGTTTTATTTTATTCTTTGCAGCGTGCAAACGTAACACTTTCCTGGACAGATGATGCTTACATCTGGTTCCACACCTGTTTGTTACTGCAGATATAAAAACAAAGCTTTGGGCTGCGTTCAGACAAACAACAGCACTGCATTGAAAAATGAAACCACCACAGGACAGTGTTTTTTGGGGCTGAGTAGTCCACTAGCACCCACTCGCCAAATCCTGGTAAAATATGCAAGTGGCTGGAAAATGCTTCACTCATTAGCCAAAAAATTAATAGCTGGAAAGATAAACATTTACAAGTGATTGGGCCGGTGGACAAAAAAGTACAATTTGCAATCAGGTGACACCACGACTGGCACAGATTCAAATAAGTTATTTTTTTGTTAAAGCAGCTAATGTGCTATGATGTAGGGGAAAGCCATTTGTCACAATTAATGACGTACATAAAGGTTTCTTCTGAACACATTTGCATTACCATTGAGTGATTTAATTTAGGGATGTCGGATGTCCCGATTCGATACTCGGCACCGATCACGTTTTTTTTTACAAAATCGGAATCGGTAATAAAAGATCGGAGGAATCAAAACAACAAAAATGGCCAGGTTTTTCATCTGTGTTGTTCATTGTTGCCTCCACTTTCCAATGTATTGTAACCGAGCGTCCTTGGTTCGCCTAACAGTGCAGCTAATGAGCAATAAACGGACAGGAGTCGAGATAACAGGTTCAGCGGCCACCGCTTCTCTCTTTATTCCGAGCAACACAGCCACACCTAACGGCGGAACCTCACCTACCACGGCCCTACGGCAACTCTGTAGGGGCAATTTGTTTACAATTTAGAATTTGTTTACATTTTGTGCTGCTGAACCACCGATAAGCTTTTTGGATACTATTTAAATAAAAAAACAAACCTTATGGGACAACTTGGAGGCGTTCTTTTTTTTCTTTCTTAATGCTTTGCAAAGTATCGGATCGGACAGAGTATCGGACTTGGTTTCAAAATAAAGGACTCTGTATCAGATCGGATGCAAAAGAAATGTGATCGGGACATCCCTAATTTAATTTATTTTCAGAAGAAATAAGAAGAAATAAGGAGTAAAGGAAGAGGCTTCTCAACTCTGACAAAAATTGAGAGTTGAGACTTGAATTTCATCACTGAAACAAATTTCTGAAGTTGTGCAGGCTCATTTATAAGCCAATCAAGTTTTCTTTTGGATCTCATTGTTGTCTCAAGAGTTCATTATTTCAGACAAATAAAGATTACTGCAGTGACAGTGGAAAAAGAGCATTTTAAAATCTTAAATTAGGACAAGGCTGAGACAAGAGGACTGCGGGAATGTGTGATATTCCCTGAACTCAGAATTTCTGCGATTTAAGTCATTAAAGGAAATGGCCACTTTAGAATGAAAATATAGACAGTACTTATTGACCCTCATGCCGACAAGAAGTCCAGTGTAGTTTTTTAATCCACAAAACTCGTTCGGGGTATCTGAGGATAACAGCTAGCCAGAATAACAGCTACACTTGAAGTGCATGGAATCCACATTTTGAAAATGTAATAACGCGCAAGAAAATGTATGTACGCGTGAGAACTAGCACCACCACTAGCCATCAGCTAGTCTCGCACGAGTTGCCATGTAAACACGGCACTCCTGCAGGGCAGGCTAACTGACCACAGTGAGAAATGATGCTATAAAAGTGGAGTAAATTACGTCTTTTCAAGTCAATTTTGCATGCCAGCTTCAGGGCACTTGCATTACAACGGACGAGCTGTTGTGACGTTTTTGAAATGCATTAGCAGAGTTTTATTACATTTTCAAAATGTGGGTTCCATGCACTTCAAGTGTAGCCGTTATTCCGGCTAGCTGTTATCCTCTGATACCCCGAACAAATTTTGTGGATTAAAAAACTACACTGGACTTCTTGTCGGCATGAGGGTCAGTAAGTACTGTCTGTATTTTCATTCTAAAGTGGCCATTTCCTTTAATTTACAAGAAAACAACCCTGAATTTGCAATAGCTGCAACCTCCATGCCAAAATTCACCCTATAAGGGCAAAAATGTAACTGCAAAATAGTAGGAAAACTTTTGTAGACTGACCAAATGACTAACTACATGAGATATAGAGCTGCTGGTTGCAGCTAAAAGCTTGGATATTCTCAGATTATGAAAAATAATTAGCAAGAAAAAAATTCATAAATTCTCTGACATTAAAGTCACAGATTTATTAGAAACAATTCTGCAAAATGGTGTTTTTCTTTTTTGAGGAACCATATTGCTTCATTTTGTACTTTTTTTTTAATTTTAGTTTTTTCTTTCCTTATAAATTTATGATGATTTTTCTCTGAATCTTTTCTTATTATATTATAAACCTCTGCGCAGCATTGTACATCTGATGACTCCTCAGACTTGTGGATCTATTAGTCCAACTGGACCTCCTGGATCAGATATTCAGTGTCTCAGTACCTGAAGCAACTCCCTGCATGCTCTTTTAAAGCAGGGCTGTTTTCAGTCTGAGCACCCACTTACAGTAGTTTGACAAAAAATAATAATTGCTTAAACGAAATAATACAAGTAAGATGATACTTTATAGTTGTCAACACCTGTTCTGTTTGTTCAGACTGTTTTTAAATGTTATAGTTTTTGGTTATAATATTGTGAAGATAGCAGCAATGATAACCTCAATACAGTAATACATTCCTTTACTTCTTAACCTCTTATCTGATGTTAAGAATCAACACGTTGGCTTCCTGTGTGCCACTTATCTAATCCGAGTCACACATAATTAACACTAGTCTGTGTTTTCAGTAGGTAAGGAAGCTGTGTGCAGGATATTCACAGATTGACTGCTTAATGATGAGTCTGGATTCTGGCTGCTGACAGTCAGACAGAAAGACAGAGGAGTGACATTTGTCAAGCTGTAGCTGAAAAGGGAGTTATTTCTCTCTTCTCTATGCTTTGCAATCTGTTCAGTGTCACTGTCAATCTGATAGACGGAACACAGTGACATTTTGGTGTAATGTTTTTCACTGGGACTGAAAAACAGTTTTTAATAAGCTGTTTGGTTGAACTGAGCTCCAGCATTCTGCTTAACTATTGATCATGTATATGAAAATGTTTTTCTCCATTGTCGTGGCTCTCACTTTTAAGTTACATAAGTTGGTATTGTCACTACATTGTGGTCTGTATGTGCTTTCTTGAGCAATCAAACAGAATATATTGTCAAACACTACTTTTAACATATTCCTTTTGTTCTTGTTCTGTGTCTTCCTCGCTTCTCTCTGCAGTCACGACTTTATTGGAGAATTCAGCACCAGCTACAGGGAACTATCCAGAGGGCAGAGCCAGTTTAACGTCTACGAGGTGAGTTTTTGTGTGTGTGTAAGATATTCTCATCTCCAGACCAGTGGCCAGGTCAGCAGGCCACTCACACACACAGTTATTGGACTAATATACCATTTGGTTTTCCATCTGGAACTTGTTTTATTAAAGTTAATTCATCATAAACCTGGCCTGCCCTACTCAACAAAATAAATAATATATTAAAAAATCATAAAGTTGTTACCAAGCTAAAGAAAACAAGTCTTAATATTAGTTTCTACGGAGAACTACTTGACTTCAGCTTGAGGCAGTCAGAGCTTAAGTGAATAAAAACTTTATGGATCATGTCCATGTTTCTATGATAATGTCACTTTGTATAGAAACAGACACAAACCAAATGCTTGAACATGAGACGGGGACCAAAAGAAAATCATAATTGACATATCTGTGTGTTAGCTTTCATGTTTCTTCAGATTGATTCACATCATTGTGGATGACCACAAGATAAAAGTTCCCATTCTCTTTGCAACATAGGGCTTTGATGCCACTAACTCATTTCATTTCCTACACAGTATCTAAAAGTGATGGCGACATTCTTTTGTTGCCCCCACACAACAGGAAGCGGGCCGAGGGCTGACTGCTAATGATGTGCAGTTCAGAGTTTTTTGATACGGACTTGTTAAAAGCCAACTGTAAACATGACAGTGGCTAAATTGTCTGGACTGTGGACTGAGTCAAGGACAGAGACAATACAGCAGCAGCGCTTTACGAGATGTTTGTTTCACAGAGACAGAGAGACAGACGGATATATTTACTACATATCTTTATTGCAAATAGTTTCTCTTTACAATGTAATACAAAAAAAACAACTTTCTGATTGATCAGTGTTCCACACATGGTGTGGTTTCAGACTTAGTCAAAAATCAAACTAAATAGAGAGATGAAAAGTAGGCTACAGTATGAGGATGTGGTAATATATCTATTTATTTACTATATGTAAACGCTAATCCTGGTACAGGGTCGTGGGGGGGCTGGAGCCTATCGAGGTTGGGTTCACCCTGCACAGGTTGCCAGACTATCACAGAGCAGACACATAGAGACAGACAACCATTCACACCCATGGGCAATTTAGTCACCAGTTAACCTGACCTGCATGTCTTTGGACTGTGGGAGGAAGCTGGAGAACCCGGAGAAAACCCATGCTGACATGAGGAGAAAAGGGAAATTCCATACGGAGGGCCCCCAGCTGGTCGGTGGATTCGAGCATGCAACCCTCTTGATGTGAGGCGGCAGTGCTAACCACTGCTGCCCCTGTGGAAATACACTGCTCAAAAAAATAAAGGGAACACTTAAACAACACAATGTAACTCCAAGTCAATCACACTTCTGTGAAATCAAACTGTCCACTTAAGAAGCAACACTGATTGACAATCAATTTCACATGCTGTTGTGCAAATGGAATAGACAACAGGTGGAAATTATAGGCAATTAGCAAGACACCCCCAATAAAGGAGTGGTTCTGCAGGTGGTGACCACAGACCACTTCTCAGTTCCTATGCTTTCTGGCTGATGTTTTGGTCACTTTTGAATGCTGGCGGTGCTTTCACTCTAGTGGTAGCATGAGACGGAGTCTACAACCCACACAAGTGGCTCAGGTAGTGCAGCTCATCCAGGATGGCACATCAATGCGAGCTGTGGCAAGAAGGTTTGCTGTGTCTGTCAGCGTAGTGTCCAGAGCATGGAGGCGCTACCAGGAGACAGGCCAGTACATCAGGAGACGTGGAGGAGGCCGTAGGAGGGCAACAACCCAGCAGCAGGACCGCTACCTCCGCCTTTGTGCAAGGAGGAACAGGAGGAGCACTGCCAGAGCCCTGCAAAATGACCTCCAGCAGGCCACAAATGTGCATGTGTCTGCTCAAACGGTCAGAAACAGACTCCATGAGGGTGGTATGAGGGCCCGACGTCCACAGGTGGGGGTTGTGCTTACAGCCCAACACCGTGCAGGACGTTTGGCATTTGCCAGAGAACACCAAGATTGGCAAATTCGCCACTGGCGCCCTGTGCTCTTCACAGATGAAAGCAGGTTCACACTGAGCACATGTGACAGACGTGACAGAGTCTGGAGACGCCGCGGAGAACGTTCTGCTGCCTGCAACATCCTCCAGCATGACCGGTTTGGCAGTGGGTCAGTAATGGTGTGGGGTGGCATTTCTTTGGGGGGCCGCACAGCCCTCCATGTGCTCGCCAGAGGTAGCCTGACTGCCATTAGGTACCGAGATGAGATCCTCAGACCCATTGTGAGACCATATGCTGGTGCGGTTGGCCCTGGGTTCCTCCTAATGCAAGACAATGCTAGACCTCATGTGGCTGGAGTGTGTCAGCAGTTCCTGCAAGACGAAGGCATTGATGCTATGGACTGGCCCGCCCGTTCCCCAGACCTGAATCCAATTGAGCACATCTGGGACATCATGTCTCGCTCCATCCACCAACGCCACGTTGCACCACAGACTGTCCAGGAGTTGGCGGATGCTTTAGTCCAGGTCTGGGAGGAGATCCCTCAGGAGACCATCCGCCACCTCATCAGGAGCATGCCCAGGCGTTGTAGGGAGGTCATACAGGCACGTGGAGGCCACACACACTACTGAGCCTCATTTTGACTTGTTTTAAGGACATTACATCAAAGTTGGATCAGCCTGTAGTGTGTTTTTCCACTTTAATTTTGAGTGTGACTCCAAATCCAGACCTCCATGGGTTAATAAATTTGATTTCCATTGATAATTTTTGTGTGATTTTGTTGTCAGCACATTCAACTATGTAAAGAACAAAGTATTTAATAAGAATTTTTCATTCATTCAGATCTGGGATGTGTTATTTTAGTGTTCCCTTTATTTTTTTGAGCAGTGTATATTTCATAATGAATTATATGCCAGTATTGAATCAATTTGATGCTTTGAAGGCACAATAAATTTTAAGTTAGAAATTACATTTGCCAGATTTCATGTGACTTTCCGTATAAACCGCAGCCATTTCCAGTCTTCTACCTGAATACAGATACAGAGACAGATAATGTTGTCTCTGTACACCTCTAGTGCCTACATTACCCACAATGCAATTTGACTGTAGATAGTTTGGTCGGAGAGTTGGGTGTATTATGCTAGCATGGCTAAGTCTTAAAAAAGTTAGGAAAATATGCTAAAATTTGTGAAGAATCATGAAAAAACATTAAATATTATGATTTAAATATACCCCCCATATTCTGACATGTTAAACTGTATTTTTTCTATCAAGAATAATCAATGATTAAGACGACAAGCTTTCATAAGACTTAGTTGATGCCAATCTAAATCATAACCCTCATTTTTGCTCTCTCACACACATACACACACTGACAGACAGTTATGATGGATCACTGGCTTATCTTTCTCCCAGGAAGAGTCAGCACCTCTTGATTAACAGAGCACCACACAGAGAGCAGAGAGCACATGGGGGACTGTCATTTTAAACAGCTGCTGTTCGCCTAATAGTGCTCAGATGTGCATTTGCACAAAGGTGCACACAGTGGTACATTGACTGGTGTGTGAGGACAGCACATGATAGAAATGCAGAGACATACACACAGTTAAAGTAATTTTGCGACTTCTGACCCTGGTCTCCAACTTAAAGAGAGGATGGCTTTGCATTGTAAAAAAGTACTCTGTGTGTGTGTGTATGTGTTGCAATCACAATTCAATCATTGGACCTCGCCTCCAGAGGCAGACGTGTCCTTGTGTGCACCCATTGCAATGTGAACCAAGGAGAAATGCATAAATCCACACATTTGTATGTTGTTTCCTTCAGGTCCTTTGTTTCAGTTTAACCTTGGTTCATTTTAATCAGACCGTAAACTGATTTAACTGCTCAACTTCAGTGTTCTGGATTCAACAGGGGTCTCAGGTCTGTTTTCTGGCTATCCCAACATCACAGGAGCCTTTGTGTGTCTTGATGAGCTCAAGTTGTGAGAGGAAATTAATTGAGGCCCACAGCTGAAAAACGTCTCTTTTCTAATCTGCTGACAAAAACAACAGGTTCTCAAAGCAAGAAGTAAAGCTTGTTTAGATGCGTGGGAGTCGTGTCTCATCCAGTCAAGGTTGGCTGTGCACTCACTTTGTGTCCTGTTACATATTCATGAAGACAAACTGCTCGGTTTAGAGGCATAATCCACCTCTGGATTTAGCTGCTCCTCTGGATATTTTGGGCTATAAGTGCATTGCTCAAAGGCATATTCATGGTGGTTGCTGGTTTAGACATAATATTTGAGGGTGGAGAGTGAGCGTGAGGTGTACAAACAATCCTGTATATGACTTCAGTTGCCACACATATGTATATAAATATTTCAGGTTCAAATTTTCCACGCAGCGTGATTGATGTAGCATTGGCAGCATTTAATGAATCTGAGTCAGATTCTATTGTTGCGTGAAGGGATAGTTTGGATTTTATGAAATGGGGTTGCATGAGGTACTTATCCATAGTTAGTGTATTACCTACAGTAGACAAGCAAATTTAGGCTGCCATAAACAGATTAATGATGGGGTCTATTATGCTTGTTTTTTGATTAAAATGTGGACTGTGTCAGAATATTAACATTTCTGATGATGCCATTTGCACATTACATTTCGATCAGGTGAGACTTTTTTATAGTAAAAAGAATATTTATTAACATGCACATGAGAATGATAATGTGAAAAGTCTTTGGTGATTAGACCCCAAAGAGATGGTATGAATTAAGGAGGGTGATAAATCCATAATCGAATAGGATAGGGAAGTGACGATGATCTTGATTAGTCGAGGAATGAGCCTTTGTTGAGCTGGTCCTGGACTCTGGATATGATGGCTGGAGGTGAACGGGGTGGAGGAGGGTGCGAAGATTCTGCCTAAAATGGCAGCTGACAGCAGCAGAAGAGAGAGCCGATTTAAAATTTCGCAGTAGTATCCTGATTGGCTGATAGAGATTGTGGCAAAGTTTGATCGCATAACTAGATGAGTGAACAGCCAGTCAGCTGATTATAGGAAGCAATGGCAATGGGTTGGAGAGAATTGTGAATGCATGAGCACAAAGAAAGTCTTCCTGATTGAACTTACGCTGAGCTTCATGTGTTGGTTGTTTTTGCTTGATCTGGATGCCTCATGTCTCAGCTAATTGTAGCATTTTAACTACTTTTGGAGACATGAAAATACTGCATTGTTACATCAAGCAGTAAATGCTTCATGTTTGACAGACTAGCTCCATAAAAAGAATAAATATGTTCCAGTGCACTGCCACAATCTACTGCAGTATATTCAATATATCTATAAACTATATTAAACATTTTCAAGTCAGTAACAGGCTCACCCACATATAAAAGAACAAACAAACAAAAAAAAAAAACAGAAAATAAAGTGTGACCACAGCCTAAGGCCAACATAGCAAATGCTACTGTAATGTCAATATTGAAATGTCTGTATTGACACTGTGATACAGTGGCAGGAGCAGAGGGGCCTTTGTCTTTTTGTCCTTTTATTACTTGGTCATACACCACTTTGTGAGTACACTTGCTGGAACAAATTAGTTGTGTTGCTTTGTGGCCACTACCACCACTAAAGCCACCAAAACAAACTGGAGAGGCGACGTACTGTGACTCAATGCATTCAACTTGTGCTGAAACTCTGTTTGGACTTTGGGGGAAAGGGCTGAGTACATCCGCTGGGAAGGGGCGTGCTTGATTCACAAAATAAAAGACAAAATGGGAGCAACAGTGGCAGACTCATTGTGCGGCACAAAATCATTTTATCTCGATTATCTTGTATTGAAAATCGACGGAAGGCAAAATCGCAATTGAGCCAGCCTTAGATACTAGTGATGTAGATGGAAGTGCAGTAGGTCCAAACATTGTTTTCAGGAATTGATAAAAAGAATCAAAAAGCATTCTCCTTAAAGAGGTTATAATCAATATTTAAAATTATTTTTCAATTAAGTACAGAGAATTATGATCTGACTCTGCAGTTCCTCTCAGCTCTGTGGAACATTTTAGTGTCTTTCAGCTCTTTCATCTGGTTTCTGGACTGCAGCTTTACTGTGCTATATCTCAATACTCTCATCAAGGTCATTTTGAAAACAGCAGGTGGCAGCTGTTTTTCAGTGATAAAGCGCTGAAAACCCACTCTGCCTGCCAAGCACCAAACAGCATACAATGTTAGCAGCTAGCTGGTGAATGTAGAGGAGCATTTTGCAGCAAAGGAGCCAGTTCTAAAGTGGTTCTCAAAACCCAGCCGTACAGTGTTATAACAAATGAAGGACTGAATTAAAGACTGACTGAATGAATAAATGTTAAAATCACAGTAAAAAAAACCTTTTCTTTTTCTAGGTGATAAATCCAAAGAAAAAAGGGAGGAAGAAAAAATATCTCAACTCTGGAACGGTGAGTAAATATCCCATTAATCATGAATCATTCTTTCCTTTGACACATAAGGCTGCACCGGCTGTTGAAATGCAATGCAGTGCTACAACAGATCCAGATGGGTACCTTTTTTCATACCGCTAACTGATTTGTTTTGTAATTGAACCAGTCAGAAAAAATAAGAACCCACATTTATCCCGTCAGAGGCAGCACCTGAAAGTGATTATCACTGACACGAAGCTGATTGTGGCCATATTGCTTACAGGTGACGCTGCTGTCATTCCTGGTGGACATTGAAGTCACCTTTCTGGACTACATCAAAGGAGGGTAGGTCAACGACCACACATTCATCCAGCACACACTGAGAGATGGAGGTTGTAGTCCTTTTAATGAGAAGTGACATGCTGAGTGTGCTGGTCCCTGTCTCGATAATAACCCCGTGGTGACTCAGTGTCTGCAATGTGCCAAAGATAATGATCCCTCAGTGTGAGTGAATGAGATGGAAAAGTGTACATTTGCATGTGAGAGAAGGACAGCGAAAGGTGGCGAGAGAAAGAGTCTGGCAGATGGGCCAACCTGAAGTCAAGTGCACAGGGCTCAGACTCATAAATGTGGGCATGTGTGTCTGTGCCCTTGTGTGTAATATTGGCCATGCCAGGTGCCATCCTGTGTGCTCCTGTGTGTCTAGGAGGGTTGACCCTGTGCAACCAGGCATGGCGTGAATGCTCTTCTGCACACTCTACCTTCATTAAGCCTGATTTATGGTAGTGCGCTCGACACTTTTAATGAGTGGTGCTTGACAGAAATGACGTATTTTTGAAAGAAAGATGTGTCACTTGGCACTTCTTTCTGCCATGATGTGCACCTGTAGAATTTTGTTATGTCGCGGACTCCTTAATATTTTTTGTGCAGTGTTATAAAGTTTGAACAGGCTCAGCGGGATGTTCAGTGTGGCATTTATGTAATATAGTAAACAAGCTAACAGCGCTAACGACAGGTCGGAAATGTGCAACAGTATTTTTTGCCAACTCTACGCATCAAACAAAAGCCAGAGACTGTGTCGTATTCTGTTGCTGTGAGCTGTAAATTCACCACTTCTCAGCAGAAGAGAGACGATAATGTTATCTCAGAGCCTTACAGTGCAAAGCCTCCCTACCTCTGTGCTGCTGCCTCTGTGTCTGCAGCTGTCTGTACCAAAGAATAGCATGAAAGTCAAGAGCGCTCACTCCACAGCTAAATCTGGGGACGAACATGTCCCCAGAAGTACGCCGCGACTTGAAACAGTCTCAGTTGACTGAGGGAACTCTGAATGACGATTTAGATCTCTCACTGTCAGGGGGCAGCCCTATTGGGTTTTCACTATGAGCCATCTTGGTTTGGTTCAATAGATGCACTGACCACCTCCCTTTCTTGCGCTCCTGTTGTCTTTTCAATAGAAGTAAGTTTGAAATCTCAATTAAGTCACTGATTTCATCAAATTCTTCCATTATCAAAATGCAAAAGGATACAGAGCAGCACAACAAAACACATGGCTGTCACAAGGAAACATATATACCCATTGAGAAGATATAATGTAACTAAACAAGCTGGCTGGAGGATAGCGTCTGGTTCCCATAGAGATGACTGAAAGCTTTCGCAGAAGCATAATTGTAAATGTCCCGCTGCTCTTTAATTTCGAGCGACACTCATCAAAAGTGTCAAGCGCCCTACCATAAATCAGGCTTCAGACTGAAAGAGGTGGAGGGGTGTGTGTTTGTGTGTGCGCGCACAACTTTGGGGGAAAAACAATCTCCATTTAAGTCCTTGTATTTTTTCAATCCTGCTGCCCTTGTAGCTGTGATTTTTAGGTGTGACGGAGAGTTGACAGCTGACATTTAAAGAATTTAAAATATATATAATGTCTCTGATTTTGTAGTTAAAAAAATCTCCACAAAAACAATAAAAGTACAAGCTTGTTCCCTTGGTTACAATCTCAGAAGAAAACAACACATTTTATTTCCTGACTAGCTTTTTTCCCCACTGCTGTCGCTCATTTCAGGAGGATTTCTGCACAGCTCAGAACAGAGGGGCAAAAAGCTGGTTGAAAAATTGCTTGAGCCAATGAGAGGATTATCTCAAGATATAAACACTTGCTATGCTAGACTGTCTTCTTCTTACAACACAAATGATTTAAAGGGCTTGAAAAAGCCTGCCTTAAACTGTGATACATTGATTAGCTGTATGTTGATGTTGTTGTAAGTCGTTCATAGCTTTTGCTTATACACCTAAATTTCCATTCAAACTTAAAGGGCAGATCCATCTGCATTCTTTTCTGGGTTTTTAAATGGAAACGCCTACTCCACATTCATAAGTATGCCTCAAGAATTAGATAACCAGGGCTGATTAATCAGTCAGCGATGTGTGTGTGACATGAGCACATACAGCAGACAGCAGCAGCGTTTGACACTAACACACCGTGAGGAGAGAGACTGATCGGGTATGTAAATGAGACGGACATGGGTTCAGCGGGGACAGAGGGTTGTTGTCAGAAAACGCCACAGCAAGCAAACACATCATCTGCTGACAGCTGGTAACTCGCTCAGCCAGCAGATTTTGCCACAAGCCGATTGATTGGCTATGGAAATGGGTGACGTGCCTTACATTGTAAAACCAGACACTAAAAACTTGACAACTTAGTAGCAGGCAACAATATCAGCCAGCTTTAGTTGAGCTGAGACGTGCCAGATCACACCACTGCAACTTTTCTCTGCAGCATTTTTAAACATCTTGTCGGAACTGGCTTTGCTTAGTTTAAAGCATCCATAATCAGTTTTTTACACCAACAGTACAGTATGTTGATGAAGATTCTCAGTCATCCAGGTCGTGGTAATCTTAAGTGCTATATCCTAGGCAGCTGGACTTGCTTAGGTTTCTTGAAGACGCTCCACCTCTCATCCAAGAGGCTTATTCCTTTCAAACTAATTGGTGCGGAGTCAAAGGCTTTAAACCCTGTGTGGGTGTAAACCCTCACAGAGTCGTTAAGGTCACATATTCAAACAAGTGAGCAAATCCAGTTGCCCACGAAGATTACCAATACAGTAGCTTGTATGATTACTACTGCATCTCAGTGTGATATCTTCTGAATAATTTATCAGACAGCTCAGACATTGCTAAAACCCAAGGCATGAATTTTATTAAACATTGGTTCACATACAGAAACACAGCTAGATCTCCTCAAGGGTTTTACTGTACAGGAACGTCTATGTGACTTACGGACTCTAATGCCACTTGACCTCCACCACTACATGTTATCCAACACATGCACATATACTCTTCTACTGTGTGAAGTTGCAGTATGATAGTACAATGTACTGAGGACTACTCATTCTTGAGTATGAAACAATGACATGTTTAAAACTTTGTAAACTTTGTGAAAATTAAGTCACAAAACTGACAAACATTAAAGGTTGTCTGTAAAAAGAGCAGCTGTAAGACTGGATCGATAGAAATCTGAGCAGGTAGAGAAACAGGAGTCATATGAAGGTAATGTACAGTAATGCTCACATAGTTTGAGCCCTCACCACATTTAAGCCCTGTGAAGGCTGTAAAAATAAAATCACTTTGTGACTAAGCACACAGATCAATATGCTATTGATTCACAAAGCATTAGAAATGCACTTTGTGTGTGCCAGATTAAGATATTAGATGGATCTACTGTATATGTTTAAGGAAATGGACATGAAGCGAAAGCATTCATCAACAGTGTGACAGGAAGTCTTTCAAGCAAACAATAGGATGTTGAATAAACATTGTTTGGATGTCCAATTAAGACATCGGGCTCTAGTTTCCCGGCGCGGCGCAGGGTGGCGAACCCCGCGCAGAGCTAATTTCGAGCAGCGCAACCCGAGGTGCGCTCAGTTTGGTAGTTTGGCAGACCAAGGTGTGCTGAGATGGGTGTGGCGGCGCATTTGGCACTTTGGCACGCGTAATGGAAACCCAACCTGATTTGATTAACACAGCTGCAAACTAATGAGTTCACATCCCTCTCAGCCAACCACAAACAGCCACAGCATCAGATAGGGAGTATATATTCAGCATCTGCCATCTTAGAAAAGTCAAAAGAAAAGAAACAGAGTGAGACTGCGAGAGAGAAAGAGAGAGCGTGCACGCACGAGAGAAACGTAACATTGATTCACAGTTGTGGTGACCTCCTCCCAGGCTACCTTTGCATCATCAGCCCGTGGAGGTCTGCTCGCAGTTCTGTATATTCAGACACTGCGAGCAGACCTCCCGGACCAAAACGTCAGTTTCCTCCTGGGAGAAGTTTGGCCGTCTGACACTGCTGCTCTCTCTGCCATGGCGAATTGAGTAAACTCTCATTACGCCTTTGCGTGGCGCATTTAAGGGCGAGGAGAGGGGCTCATTTGATTGGTGTGATGTGTGTAAAACCCACTCCACGCCTTCTCTCCTCCCTCTTTCCGACTTGCACAGGTAGGAGGGACGGCGGTGGGAAAGAGGAGTAGCTGCGCCAGGACTGATGTGTGCCAAACTTGCAAAATCCGCCTGGCCACACCCAGATGGCGAAGCGCAGGTGCGCTGCGCCCCCGCCTCGCCCGGTCTGCAAAAATAGAGCCAATCCTGTCAAAAATAGTTCCAAAATAAAAGTTGTGCCAATGTCCGCAATGACACCTGGCTAACAGCTGGACATCCTTTTTATAAAGCCTTGACCTCACCTGAGCTCTGTGAGGGTACAGGCCAATAAACGTCCTGAGCACAGAAAATTACAAGAAAATTGCAAGAAAAAAGGAAAATACAGGCAGAGGGCAGAGTCTTTGGAGAAAAAATACACATCTACACACTTCCAGTGGGTCATAAGTGACAATTGAGAGGCTTTTTAGGAAAATCCTACATAGTATATCTTTCACACCAATAAAAAATACACCAACATTGGCTCACACGAGACTCAAGACCCACCCTCCAGGATGAAAGTCCTGTGCTTGTCCCATTAATTCTCCTCAAATTATTTTTGATGTCAACTTTTTACTCTTTATATGATGTCACCTGACGTCTTTGCAGAGAGCCCTGAAGGCTTGGATAAAGACTTTCGGCTCTGACAAACCCCACAAGCTTAAAACAACAAGACGGGAATATAATTTACATAGACATAAATGGCATCAATGAGATTTTTTATATTCAAAAAATGGGGGTGGACGTCTCAGTATGGCCATCTGATCACAACCATTTCACAACTAAACAAATAAATTGTCAATGAAAGTCCTATTTTCTATAGCAGTAATAAAATCAATATTTCCATGTTTGTACAGGGAGTCTGAATGGACCATTATTAG